GGAGTGGAGGAAAATTTTATAAGTTCAAGAGGGGGGATTTTTAACACTTAAAAACATAAGCTAGGATTAGATCAAGTATTGCTGAAACAACTTTATTTCAAGGAGAACCTCGGATTAGGAGTGGGGAGCTCCATGCTTCCTCGCCCTGTGATCTCTCTGGGTCAGTTGCCTCTGCAAGTGGAAACAGCCGGGCCTGTCTGCCCATTTCATCTCTTTGTTGGAAGGAAGGCAATAGTACACATGATGTGAATTAGTAAACGAAAAGTGGTGAACAACCACAGAACACTAGTCTTCTATTCTTGATAGAAGCACCATGACTAAACTCATTGATGGCATATTTTACTATCTAGATACTTCCAAGTTCTACAGACAATCCAGAGATGTGCTCATACTAAAGTATAGAAGAGATAGAGTGTTACTAATCTAGTTCTTTGGGTAATATTATACACCCCTCTCCCCACTCCACCCCCCCCCCCCCCCCCGCCATCTACAAGTTCTGGAATAATTGTTATAAGGGAAAAGGACTCTCACATTTAATTTCCAAATTGATTTCTTTTATTGCCATTCAAAATCAAAGCACTCTATAAGTTTCCAAAGGAAGTTAGAAATGAATAGTTAAAGTCTTTGGACTGGTAGTTAGGAGCAGGAGGTGGCTTCTCACACTTCTGTAGATCCAGAAGAAGGTGACCACTGAGTTTGGGCTGACTTTAGGCCCATGTAAGAATAAAGGACACACACCTGTCACAGGGCGCTGACCGCGACACAAGCAGGTCTGTGCTCCAGAAGCTGCCCCATCATGTTAAGAGCTGGAATTTTAGACTGATTTTAAAATTTGGTGTCACAAATTCAAGCAGACAGCCTTTTTTAAGTATAAATATATTCATTCGCTGGACTTCTATCTCCCAGAATGTTCTCAAAACCAGTATATTTTATTGAAGTAAAAATGACAGTGAAATACACAGATGCTAAGGGCACAATTTAACCACTTTTGACAAAGGTGTACACCTATGTAGTCAACACATCAATCAAGATATAATAGAACGTTTCCAAGGCCCAGAAAGTGACTTCGTGTCCCCTTCCACACAGTCCTTACCCCCTTCCACCCAAGACAACCACTGTTAACGCTTTCTGTTTATGGGGTAGGCATTGTCCATACTTGAAATTCATATAAATGTCAGTCTTTTGTATCTGGCTCAACATGTTTCTGTTACTGCACATACATATCAGCAGTTCATTCCTCTTTATTTTCAAGTAGTAGTCCATTTTATGGACATCCCTATTTGCTTACTCATTTGCCAAGAGATGGACATAGGGGCTGTTTTCAGCTTTGGCTATTGTGAATAAAGCTTCTATGGACATCAGTATGTAAGTTTTTTGCAGACATGTTTCCATTTGTCTTAGATACCTAGAAATAAAATGGCTGGTTCACAGAATAAGTGTATGGTTAACTTTGTAAGAAGCTGCTAAACACGTTCTTTAAAGTGGCTGCACCATTTTCCACTGCTCAGCTGTGTGTGCAATCCGCATTCTCACCAACACTGGGCATTGTTGGGGTTTTGAATTGTAGCAATCCTAGTGGGTGTATAATGGTATTTACATTGTGGTTTTGAACATACCTGTTTAATTTTTCATTTGCATGCAGTGAAACTTATTTTATTTTGGTGAATAATTCTGAGTTTTAATGTATGTTATAGATTCACATAGCTACCACCACCATCAGGATACAGAAGAGTTCTATCACCTAAGAAAAGCTCCCTCCTTGTCTGCCCTTTATCGTAGTCACAATCTCCTCCTACCCCGAACCCCTGGTAACCACAACTGTTCTGTCCTTGCCTATAATTCTGCCTCTTCCGCAATGTAATATAAATAGAATTATGCAGTATGTATACTTTTAAAACTGCCTCTTTCAATCAGCAGAATACCTTTAAGAGTCATCCATATCGGTATCATATCTTTATTTTCAACTTTTGGCATTTATAAAAACTCAATAAACATATGTGTAAAGGTTGTTATGTGAACACAAGGTACATTTCTTTAGGGTAAATACATAGGAGGGGATCGTTGGGTTATATGGTAAGTGGATGCTCCAACTTCCTAAGAAACTGCTAAACTGTTTTGGACTGGCCATTTGCATTCCCGCTGGCACGGATTATGTTCCAGTCACACTGCACAGTCACCAGCATGTGGCGGTGGTTTTATTTTGCTCCTTCTAGTAAGTGTAGAGCAGTAGCTTACCATGGTTTGAGTTTGCACTTCTCTCACTGCTAGTGATGTTGAGCATCTTTCCATATACTTACTTGCCTTTCATACATGGCCTTGGGTGAAAAGTCTGTACAAATGTTTTGTTCATTTTAAAAATTGAGTTGTTTTCTTACTGTTGAGTTTTGATAGTTTTTTAATTCTTGATTGAAGTCATTTATTTGATAAATGATTTGTAAATAATTTTTCCTGATCTAGGGCTTTTTTTTTATTTCTTTAACTGTGTTTTTCTCAGAGAAAAAGTTTTCAATTTTGATCTAGTCCAGTTTACTTTTTTAATGGTTCATGCTTTTCGTGTCATATCTAAGAACCCTTCACCTAATCCATGATGGCTGTTTCCTGTCATCTTGTAAGTCTTATAGTTTTATATTTTACATTTAGATCTGTGATCCTTTTTGAGTTAATTTTTGAATAAAGAGTAAGGGATAGTTCAATTGGGGGAGTATGTATATGTCCAGTTGTTCCAATCCCTTTTGTTGAAAAGACTGTCTTTCGTATTGAGTTATTTTTGAACATTTGTCAAAAATTAGTTTACCATATTTTTGTGGGTCTGTTTCTGGACTCTATTCTGTTGCACAGATTTGTGTGTCTGGCCTTCCTCCAATATAGCACTACCTCAATTGCTGTCGCTTTAGAATCATTCTTAAAATTGGATACTGGGTCTTCCAACTTTGCTCTTTTTCAAATTATTTTGGCTATCCTAGTTTCGTTGCTCTTCTGTATACAACTTCTTTGTTCTTTTTAATTGAATTTATTGGGGTTATATTGCTTAATAAAATAATGTAGGTTTCAAGCATGCAATTCTATCATACATCATCTGTATATCGCATTGTGTGTTCATCACCCTAAGTCAAGTCCCCTTCCATCACCATTCATCTCCCTTTTACTCTCTTCTACTTTCCCCCACCCCCTTTCTCTCTGGTAACCACGTGCTATTTTACCTGTGTCTGTGAGGTTTTTGTGTGTTTGTTTTGCTTAATAGGTGGAGGGTCACCTATTTCACCCAGCTATCCGAATAGTATTCTATTGTGTAAATGTACCACACTTTTTTATCCCTTCATTTCCTCATGGGCTCTTGGGCTGCTTCCAAGTCTTGGCTACTGTAAATAATGCTACAGTGAACATAGGGTACATATATTCTTTCAAATTGGTGTATCAGGTTTCTTTGGATACCAGAAGTGGAATCGTTGGATCATAAGGCAGATGCATTTTTAATTTTTTGAGGTAATTCCATACTGCTTTCCACAGTGGCTACACCAGTCTGCATTCCCACCAGCATCCTTGCCAACACTTGTTCTTTATTGATTTATTGATGATAGCCAGTCTGACAAGTGTGAGGCAATACATCATTGTGATTTTTTTTAAGATTTCATTTATTTATTTTTAGGGAGGGAGAAGTACATTGATATGAAAGAGAGACATTGATTGGTTGCCTCTCATGCACCCTGACCAGAAACAAAAATGCACCCTAGGCATGTGCGCCGATGGGGAATCAAACCAATAACCTTTCCCTTTGCGGGATGATGCCCAGCCAACTGAGCCACACTGGTCAGGGCTCATTGTGATTATAGTTTGCATCACTCTGATGATTTGTGACATTGAGCGTTTTTTTATATGTCTGTTGGCCATCTGTATGTCCTGTAAGAGTGTCTGTTCAGGTCCTTTGGCCATTTTTAAATTGGATTGTTTGGTTTTTCAGTGTTGAGTTGTGTAAGTTCTTTATGAATTTCCTTATACAATTTAGAATCGAACGTCTGTACCTATAACCAATCCTCCTGGGATATTTTTTTGAATTTTAGAATCAGTTTGTCAGTATCTATAGAAACGCCACCTGGAATTGTGCTGAATTTATGTATCAGTTTGGGAGAACTGACATCTTAACAATATTGTCCTCTAGGCCATGAGCATTGCTTATCCAATTGGATTCTTTCTTTTTTTCCAATAACAATTTGTATTTCTCATGTACTATATATACAATATATAATGTAGTTTTATTTATGTTTTGTTAAATCCTTAGGTGCAATATTTTTGTTATTGCAGCTGTTATTGCCTAAATATACAGAAGTACAAATGATTTTTGCATATCAGTTTTTCATCTTGAGACCTTGATAAAATTGTAACTTAGGATTTTCTACATATACAGTCACATCATCTGCAAATAAAGGCAGTTATATTTTTCTTTCCGACAACCTTTATGCTTTGTATTTCTTCCTTGCTTATGGTATGATATTAAATAATGAGAATGAACACTGTTGCCTTTGCCTTGTTCCTATCATAAGGAAAAAGTGTTGTCATTCACCATTAAATTTAACATTAGTTTGAGGAAGTCCCTCCTATTGCTAGTTTTCTGAGAATTTTTATCATGAATTTTGTGTTGTTTGTATTTTTTATTTATTTTATTTTTAACATTTTTAAATTGTTGTTCAGGTACAGTTTTCTGCCTTTTTCCCCCCAGCCCTCCCCACCACCCCAGCCCTCCCCACCTCCTTCCCCTGTTTATCAAATGCTTTTCTGCATGTAATGAGATAGTTTTCAGGTTTTCTTTCTTTTTTAATAGAGAATTATGTTTATTGGCTTTTCACTGTTCCATTGCATTTCTTGGATTCCTTGCATAAATCCTGCTTGGTTATCATGTACTAACCATACTGCTGGATTCAATTTGACATTTTACAAAATTATGTGTCTATGTTCATGAGTGATATTGTCTTACTGAGTTTTTTTGAACTGTCTTGTTGTAACAGGGTAATCCTGACCTCATGTAGCAGGAATTGGAAGTGTTTCCTCTTCCATTATTTCCTGAAGAGTTTGGGTAAGATTGGTATTATATTTTCCTAAAGTGTTTGAAAGAATTTAGAGCTCTAGTGTAGCAATTTGGGCCTGGAGTTTGTTATTGTTTGTGGAAAGGTTTAAGTTACAAATTCAATTATTTAATTGATACAGGGTTATCAGACTTTCTATTCTTTATTGTGCCAGTTTTGGTAACTTCGTATTGGTATAAAGTTGTTTATAATACTCCCTTATTAGTCTTTTAATGTACCTGTATATAGAATCTATAATGTTCCTTTTTCACATACATCTTGGTAATGTGTCTTCTCCTTTCTCTTGTTTAGACTAGATGGAAACTTAACTATCTTATTAGCTCTAGTTAAAGAACCAGTATTTGTTCCATTGACTTTCTCTATTTTTTATCCCTTTGCTCCACTGATTTCTGATCTTATCTTTATTATTTCCTTCCTTCTTACTTTGAGTCTAATTTCCTTTTCTTTTCCTAGTTTCTTAAGGTGAAAGCTTAGATCACTGATTTAAACCTTTCTTCTTTTCTGTTACAAGCACTTAAACCTATACATACCCCTCTAGGATTTCACAATGCATTTCAAAATTTTTGATATATTATGGTTTATATTTAGTTGAAAATATTTTAATTCCCTTGTGATTTCTTCTTTGCTCCATGGATTATTTAGAAATGTTATAGTTTCCAAGTATTTGGGGATTTTCTGGATTTTTTTATTGTATGTATTTCTTTTTAAAGATTGTATTTGTTTTTAGAGAAAGGGGAAGGGGGGAGAAAGGGGGGGAAACACTGGTATGTGAGAAATAGGAATAGGTTGCCTCTCTCATGCCCCCAACTGGGGACCTGGCCTGCAATCCAGGCATGTGCCCTGACTGGAAATCGCACTGGTGACCTTTTGGTTTGTGGGACAATGCCCAACTCACTGAACTACACCAGTCAAGGCTATTATCTTTTATTTCTAATTTAATTCCGTGGTGATTGGAAAGTATACATTGAGATTTCAAGCCTTTGAAATCTGTGGAAACCATCATGTAGTCTGTCTTAGTCAATGTTTTATATGCACTTGACAAGAATGTGTATCCTTCAGTTGCTTGGTACTGTCTTCTGCAATGTCATTTATCTCAAGTTGAATCCCAGTGTTGTTAAAAATTTCAATTCCTTATTTTTACCTTTGGCTATTATATCAGTTCCTGAGACTATGTAATGTTTATATTTTTCCCTTTAGTTCTGTCAGTTTCTCCTCACGTTACTTTGAAGCTCTCTCATTAGTTTCACACACATTTATGATTGTTCATGTCTTCCTCACTGTCAAATAAAATGGTAATAATCTTGGTCTTGAAGTCTGCCTTGTCCGATATTCCCATAACCACAGCAAACTTTCAATGCTTCCTGCTGTCATAATGTATCCTTTCCAACCCTCTTGTTTGCAAACTGTATATTTGTATTTAAATTACATCACTTATAGGTACCAGACAGTTGGACTGTTTTAACTAAACTTTATTTTTCAGAGTAGTTTTAGGTTCACAACAAAATTGAGCAGGAAGTATAGTTATCCCATCGCCCTGCCCTCACAGCCTCACCCCACCATCAACATCCCACTCCAGAGTGCCACACTGTTACCATCAGTGAACCTGCACTGACATACCTTGATCAGCCAAAGTCCATAGTTTTCATTAGGATTCACTCTTGGTTTTGCACGCTCTGGATTTTGATAAATGTATAATGATATGCATCCACCATTGTAGGGTCATACAGTTTATTCACTGCCCTAAAAATCCCCTCTGCTCCACCTGTTCAACCGTCCCTCCTTTCTGATCCCTGGCAACCACTGGACTTGTCACTGTCCAGACTTACCTTTTCCAGAGTGTCATACAGTTGGAAAGATTGGCTTTTAAAACTTAGTAATACACATTTAGGGCCCCTCCTTTGTTTCCATGGCTTGTAACTCATTTCTTTTTAGCAGTAAATAATACTCCATTGTCTGGATGGACCACTGTTTACCCACTCACCTGCTGAAGTACACTTTGGTTGCTTCCAAGTTTTAGCAATTATGTAATAAAACTACTAAAAATATCCATGTCTAGGTTTTTGTATGGATATGATTTTTCAACCCATTTGAGTAAGTAACCAACAATTGCTGGACTGTATAGTAAGAGTATGTTTAGTTATGTAAGAAATTAGCAAACTTATCTTCTGAAGTGGACGATTTTGCATTCTCAGCAGCAGTGAAATGAGAGTTCTGTCATTCTGCATCCTCATTAGTATTTGGTGTTATCAGCATTCTAATGGATTCTCACCATTCTAATAGTATGTAGCAGTATCTCACTGTTGTTTTAATATGCAATTTCCTAATGATACATAATGTCAATCACTTTCTCATGCTTATTTGCCATCTGTATGTCTTCTTTGGTGAGATGTCTCTCCAGATCTGTTACCTAATTTTTAATCAGTGTCTTATTGTTGAGTTTTGGGAGTTCCTTATAGATTCTGGGTAACAGTCCTGTATCAGATATACTTTTGCAAATATTTTCACCCAGTTTGTGGCTTGTCTTCTCATTTTCCTGACAGTATCTTAACACAGAACTTTTATATTTTGATGAAGTCCAATTATCACTTATTTCTTTAATCAATCATGCATTTGGTGTTGTATCTAAAAGGTCATTGCCAAACCTGAGGTTATCTAGATTTAACACCTAGATGTTGTATTCTAGGAGACTTACAATTTAATATTTTTATATTTAGGTCTGTGATTCATTTTGAGTTAATTTTTGTGGAGGGTATAAGTCTAGATTCCTTTTTTTTTTAAATGTGGTTGTCCAGTTGCTCTAGCACATGTTGAAGACAACCTAGATCAGTTGGCACTGTTTGTGTGGGTTGGATCTTATTTTTAAAGGCCTTTTAATTCAAATTGAGTCCATTTCCTTTCATATAATTTTTGCTCTGTATGGGTTTAAGTGGGCCACTTTGCTATTTTAAGATTGTCTCATTTTCTTTCTTTTTTCTTCCTATGTTCTTCCTTTCCTGCCTTCTAGTTTAAATGTCTGATTCCTCATTGTTTTTATGCCATCCTTATCTTTTTAGTGGTTTCTCTGTTCAGTTTTTAAAAATCCTTCCCCCCATTTTCAGGTTACATATATGTATGGTTTTATATTCAAGTTCACTAATCCTTTCTTCTACAATATCTAATAGCTCATAAGAGTTTACCTTTTTGATTTTTACAATTTCCATTTTTCTGAGATCCTTTATTCATGCCTTATAAGAATTTTTCCTGTATGTTCTTGAATATATTTAAAAATCTGCTTTAAACTGATATTAATTATCAAATGGTTTATTATTTTATGGTCTGTTTCTAATGACTGTTTTTTCCCTTGATCATGAGGTACATTTTTCTGCTTGTTCTCTTGGCTAGTAATTTTATTGTATGGTAAAGATTGTGGATAATACTTTGTAGGAATCTGGATCATGTCATCTTCCTTTCAATACCTTCCATTTAATGGTATTGAATTGTATTCTCTATTAGAATAGAACTATTTGTCTGAATGTAGTCCAGTATGGCTCATGGGCTGGCTGCCTGTTTTTGTAAATGAAGTTTTACTGGAACATAGACATCGCTCACTTGTTTATACATTGGCTGTGACTGCTTCTGCAAAACAGCTGAGCCCAGTAGTTGGAACATAGACCATACAGCTCACAAACTTCAATTATATACTTTGTGCCCCCTTAAGAAAAGTGTGCCAACCCCTGCCAGTACACTTCTCACATTTCTAAAGTAGTAGCTAATCTACTACTGAAGTGTTAATGAGGACTTCACACTTGGGCTAGCTTGATACTCCAAGGGTTCCCCAGGACTGTCTTAACTTCTGGTGTCACTGGTCAAGTCCCAGAGCAGGTCATCTTTTGCTGGGTCTTAGATTTTTCCTGTACATGCACATCCCAGCCTCAAATAAGTACTGTTGATGAGACCTCATGCATATTTCTGCCTCCCTCCCCACAGCTCCCTTGTCGCTTGAACTGTGTTATATATACATTCCTTCTGCTCCAGTAACCCAAACTCTACCTCTTCAGTTCAACAGAACTGCCACTCTGCCTGGGCTCAACCTCCCCATGATTATGCCGGAAGATGCCCCCAGGCAGAAAGGATGATCGATTGTGGCCTTTAACATTGTGTCTCCCTTCTCTTGGGGACCACTCCTGTGCTGTCTGTTGTGCAATGCCTGAAAATACCTGCTGTGGCTGGGGAAAAAATGGGTTCTTTGGAAAGCAATCTCACAGAGTGATCTGATCATGAATTAGTAACTGAGCAGATCATGCCCCAGGCCTAAACTTCTTTACTGAAAGGCTTCTTTCTTCCTTAAGCAAGCCCTGTCCATTGTTTTTGTGCATCTAGGGTAACACATTTTTGAAATTCCCCCTTTCAGACCCCTCCTTCTAAATCATGCAAGAGGTCGTCCAATCTCAGCCTTGCTTTCTCCCACCCTCATGTAATCTTCCTTATATTCCCTTCTTAATCTCAAGTGCATAACAGAAACTGCAAAGCTATTACTCTCTGGAGCATTTTAGATCTTGCTCACCCCAGCATATGTCATCAGTCTCATCCAAATGAGCTCCTATAAAAATTCTCTATAGGTTTGGACATTTTTCACAGTGGCACTGCCCACCACATATATTTTGTTCAGGCTTAAAGTTGTTTTTGGTGAGAGGGCAAATCTGACACTGGTTACTTTGTTATGGTATGATAAAACCGCTTTTGCAAAACCAAACATCTCAGAAAAGATTCTTCTATTCATGGCCTTTTATACTGACAGTAAATTTTCTAAGTAATGGTTTTCAGGTTAACTATGTCCACTTCCCTTAATCATCCCACAAAGTACAAAACAGATACTAAGTAAGTCATTACATGTTGATAATGTACAACCAGGATAGTTCTTGTCCTCAAGTTCAGCCTAGTAAACAAGACAAGCATCACAGCCCCTCGTTCCACTTTTGAAGTAATCTCTGGAGCATGTAGCAGGGCACAT